GTGTGTGTGTATGTTTGTATGTATACATTAATATAGATATATATATGTATTTGTGTGTGTGTGTGTGTGTATGTATGTATGTTTGTATGTTTGCATGTGTTATATATATATATATATATATACCCACTCCGTTCCTCGCTCACTCTACCCACCCACCTATCCCCCAGGAGCCTAAGCTGCTCAAGTCCGGCAATGAGGCGTACACTGAAATGGCCAAGGAGATGGTGAAGGTGGGTGTGTCGTGCGAGTTGTTCCTGTTCCCCAATGCCTTTGCTGATGTAGCTACTCTGGGCGAATTCTCTCACCTCACCGGGGGACACTGCTATGTGTACCCGAAGTACAATGCAGCCACCGATGGCCACAAATTCAGTGCGGAGCTGGGACGAGCGATATCTAGGCCTTTCGGGTAGGTGCGATGTCGAGCTGTGACTGGGGGTGTGCGTGTGTATGTGCATGCGCGTGTGCGTATGCGTGTGTGGATGTGTGTGAATATGACGGCATTAAATACTGTAGAAATGTATATACGTGCATGCACAGAGACTGAGTTCTCTCATCATTTGGGGCACACTGCTACGTGTACTCTAGGTACAAGGCAGTCACCGATGACCGCAGGCTCAGTACGGAGCTTGGATGAGCGATCTTCAGGCCTGCGGTATATGAATAAGGACGTTTACCATAGACAAGTATATGGTGTACTTTTGTCAACTTACGCTCTAGAAATATATCGAATTCTCTCATCTACGAGACTCTTCTATGTGCGCGTGCGAGTGAGGGCTTGCAGGCCTGGCAGTACTACTACAACTTTCTGTATGCTTAATCCTGTGATCATACAGATGTGCTTGCTGCACTCTCACTCACCTCTGCCCTTGTACATTGCCCCAGGGCATTCACCCACTCACACGTATCACTACCACTCACACCCACTCACACCCACTCACACCCACTCACACGTACCACACCCACTCACACGTATCACACCCACTCACACGTATTACACCCACTCGCACGTATCACACCCTCTCACACGTACCACACCCTCTCACACGTACCACACCCACTCACACGTATCACGCCCACTCACACCCACTCACACGTATCACACCCACTCACACGTATCACAC